GATGGATGGATGGATGATGGATGGATGGATGATGCATGGACGTCTGCTTTTACTCACACTGGAGACTTTGTCAGACTCTGATCTCTGCCTGAAGGTCGGCAGTGGACTTCCTTCTGTCTCTACTATTTAAATTCTTGAGTTTCCTGACATCTGCCTCCGTCAGCCTGCGTTTGCCGCCTCGTCCTCGGTGCATTCTCTAAGTACTCGTCTTTCCATCGACTCTGAAGTGTACTCGACCGCACAGCGAGGACACTTCATGTCTCACGCTGTTAGTCTCAGAGAGCGTCCAGCATCACGACGCGCTGTAACGTCCACCCTCTCCTTTACAGTCACTTCTCTTTTTACTGCTCGGAACAAGAGCGAGACGTCTCAACCTGAATTCATTATAAGTTTTCTTTAGTAATGAAAGACTATTTATCACTAATTCAACCACATTTTTATGCTTTTTTTAAATGCATGGAAACAACAGCAATAATTATATTTTAGAATCAAAAACATTATTTAGATTGACGAGTCTGGACATGCTCTTGGATCAACTGTTTCAGAAATATAAAGAGTGATTTCGGTAATTACCAATAATATTGATTTAGGGCAGCTGTGACATGTTTGATGAACTTTATTGACAGCGATCCAAAGACAAACTGGGCACTTTGGGTTCAGATGTACCGGTGCTGAAGGTCTACATGTTCCTAGAAATGCAGATGCTGAACTTTTCAGTATGAACGTGTTTACGGTCCTCATCAGTGCGATCACCGCCCTCCCAGTTTCTGCTCCAGTTATCGTTCTGGGGTTCTTAGCAGAGGTGGGCGTGTTCAGACGGTTAGCGCTCAGCTGTGTGAAAGGAGCGATGGTTGAATCCTGACCTGACGTATGGCTGCCCTGTCTTCTTTCTCTTTACGGATACCAGATTAAACTGTGCTTGACCACGCCCCCCATCAGCTGATTTTAGATCTAACGCTTTCACGTCCAGTGAGCGTGGTGTCCTAGCGCCACGTGTGAAGAGGACAGACGCGATAAAAGGTCTAGAAACTCAACGAGTCCACATAAAAAAATAAAAATGTGTTGATCAGAAGGTCACATATCACGGAGGTGGACAGTCTGGTTCTTGCCCCTGCTGTGAGGGTGGATGGTGCTGTTATCTACCTGTTGCAGCGTGCTCAGTCTCACCTGGGTGGCACTGGTGGCTCGGTGAGAATCATGTTTTTTTAGTTTTCCAGTGTCTTCAATGTCCAACCACTTCCTAACACTCCAGCGACCCAAACATTGAATCATGCTCGCTGGTGACCCTGCAGAGGCTCGCTGTATTACTGGTGGGCAGGAGTCAGTGTGCAGAGAGCTGCTGAGGAGCTCGGTGGAGACGTCCATCAGAAATCACCTTCTCCTGAATGTCAGGAGGACAAAAGAGAACGTGGTCGCCTTCCAGATGAAAACAACTGCGACTAACACTGTGAAAACATGGGTGAGGAGCTGGAACCATCACTGGCATCTGAGTCAGCTAAGGTCAGAGGTCACTGAACAAACTGCTCTCCATCAGGGAAAACATCACAGCTGCTCCCGTCCTCATGACCGAGGCAGCCACAGAGCTTCAATCATCCTCACTGCAATAAACCATACAGTGACAGGTGAACACACACACACACACACACACACACACACACACACACACACACACACACACACACACACACACACACACAGGGCTCCATCAGAGCAGCTCCCAGCGGTGCACAAAGCACTTAGACCTTGTCGCTTCAGTCATCCATCAGCTCGTCCATCCATCTTCCGAGAGCGCTCCGCGGATCTCGACCAGCTCTGCTCAGATAATTATGCAGGAACGCCACAGGAAGTGACCCGGTGTCAGAGCAGTTCAGACCACAGAAATATTTCATACCTTATATTTACAGATGTAAAGTCTCAGACATTTGTGGGTTTACAGGCGTCTAAAGCAAGGCTCCCTCGTTATAAACCCACAGAGACCGCCTCTGTGACGAGCAGATGTTTCCGCGTTTTGGTGCTTTTTCCATCAAGTGCTTCAGTTTTTATTAATAATCACTTTAAAACTGTTAACCAGATAAGCAGACAGTCCGATCACATGACCCCGTAGCAGCAGCAATCGGTGACAACGGGAAGGAAAAACTCCCTTTTGACAGGAAGAAACTCCAACAGTTGGAGTGAGGAGACGAGAAAAGGGGAGACACGGACAGATCAAAAAAGATGAAGGTTAATAACGTGAAAAACATGAAGTGTGAAAAGAAAAGCCCCGTGCATGATGGGTAGTCCCCCAGCGGCCTGAGCCTGTAGCAGCATAACTCAGGGCCACCTGTCAGCAGCCTGAAGGCTTTCAGGCAGTTTTTACATGACGAGGGATGAGAAAGGTTCAGCACTCTGTCCCACTCTGTTTCCTGTTTCCTGTTTCCTCTTCCTGCTTCTACTCTCTGAATATGTTTTCTGACTTTGAGCATCGTTTGTGTGCAGCGAGTCGTGATGTCACGGATGCTTTTAATGACAGACAAACCAAAATAAATATTAATACTACATTTGCAGAGTGAAGTTCTGAATATGCATTGTGTTTTAAGGGGAAAGAAATCACTATGGTTGTTGTAAATTTATGTCTTAGCTGATAAAGTATGAATGCACGACATCCTGGAAGAAATCACAGCTACTTTATTCCACCAGCGTCTCCTCGAGTGCACTCTTGTTTGTCCTGCCGCCGGGCGGGGGGACTCCTAACAGGGTGGGACAGCTCTGCAGCACTCCTAAATCCTGGAGGAGTTGGAGTGACTTTCACAGGTTACAAAACTGATGAAAAAATGCTTTTATTGCCTGAACGTCAGAGGCCACGTGCATCGCTCGGAGCATTCGGGGACATTCAAACAGTGTCGGTGCAGCGAGACCACGAAACCCGATCCTGGTCTGCAGCCGCGTTCGTGTGCGCGTATTGTATCGGTGTACAAAGCAGCTCGCGTGCACGGCGGACCGCCTTCACGTCACTTTAAAGTATTTGCTGTCAGACTCGGTAAATGCCCGCGGCGCACATCTGCTATTCCTGTCTGCTCGTCTGTCTCTTCTGATTTCTGTCTCTGTCTGCCTCGCTCTGTCATCGTCTCCACTCGTCACCGTGACTTCCTGTCTGCTCGCAGTTTGAAGCTTCTCTTTAACTGATTATTTGGCCTTTAAATACAGATTACAAGTTAACTACCATATACAATCCTCTTATCACACAACACTGTGCTGCACAGGAGCCGCACAGTTTTATGTTTTCTACGGTGGCCTTGAGCCGCAGCTCTCCTTCTTTGGACATCAGCTACTTGAAAATACGCTCCGTGTGCAGGCAGACGTGGACATCTGCAGAACACAAAACAGCTTTATCGCTGAACAGAAACCAGGAACTGCACTGAGCAGAAATCACAGGAAACAAAACAGACGGGACACACAGCTGGAACACACCTGAGAACTCAGGTGAACTAAATCTAACTAACGACACAGAACAAGCAAAACTGCCTCACACGAGACAGGAGACTAACAAAATAAAGCAGGAAGTAACGCACAGCGAGACTCTGATTACGGCGCGTGAGTGTGACACCAGGACCGGGGACAGAGACTGAAGACAGACGGATGCAGAGCTCAGACGGACGACAACGGAAGCCTCTGATTGGCAGAGGCTTGGTGTTTCACACAGCGCCAGTGCAGTGAAAGCAACCCTGCAGAGCCCGGACCTCAGCATCACCGCAGCAGGGTGGGATCATCCTGGCAGCGAGCGCAGCTCAGATTGATCACATCATCGGGAAGCGAAGCCAGCTCCCAGTGTTCCCAGCACGGACACAGACCTGCTCTGGTTAGTCACCGTCTCTCAGAGAAAGCTCTTGTTGACACTGAAGCTCGTTTGATTGGACTTAAAACAATAAAAGCATCTTTTCTGAGTGAGACTCATGAATCCTGATTACACAGAGGCCTTCTGTGGGAGTCCTGACTGTGGCTGTGATTTGGTCCAGAGATGGATGTGATGAAGACGGGTCAAACATTTTTAGAGAACGATGACCTCTGACCTGTGACAGCGATCGTGGTTTGAGCGTGCACACTGAAAAATGACGCTGCCGTGCGTCATGGAGCATGACACCTCGCCGCGTTTCCTGTTCTCGGAATGAGAACATGCCGACAGTACTCACTAATCAGGAAGTGATGAAAGGCTTAAATTACTAATACTGCCCTCGGTGTGCGTTTGGTGATGTCTGAGCTGAATAAGCCCGACAGCTTCCTCTCCGTGCGCTGAGCGTTCGGCCCTGTGCACTCAAGTATTCTATCGAGCAGTCAAGGACGAACGGCGACTTTAACACACGCTGCAAAGTGCAGCAGCAACACCTGACGGTGTCCAGTGTTCCTGAGAGGTGGAGGAAGCTACAATATGTTTATGACTGCTTTACAAACATGAAGCTGTTACTCACCATGGTCGTCTCAGCAATGGAGCCAAAGCTGTTGATGAAAATGTTGCAGGAAACGTTGACGGGAGGACCTGCCGAGAGACAAGGACATGCGTCAGCTTCATCCTCCGCCCACCTCTCCTGTGTGTGTTTGATTACAGGACTGGTTTGGGTGCATGTACACCAGTTCAGCCAGTAACAGTCAGTCTACGTCTGCTGTGTGTATGTGTGTGTGTGTGTGTGTGTGTATTCATATCTTTGTGGGGTCCTGGTCCCCACAAGTTTGAAGGCATCTTTTAGACTCTAAATGTGGTTTAGTGTCAGGGTTACAGTTACAGGTGATGGTTAGGTTCAGGGTTAGACGTTCTCACTAAGATATGAATACTCGACACGTGTGTGTGTTTACAGATTATATATAGAGATACTAAAACGTTCCTTGAGCGTATGAAGGATTACGTGTTTTAAGTCGTGCCTGCAGCCGTTGAACCACAGCCGTGGGGCGAGCACTGCAGGTTTGGGCTGAACCATGAAGCATGCGTCCAGCACGTCTGCCTCCGTCTTAGCTGCACAGCAACGGGTGGAGGAATGTGTGAAAAGATCGCATGCCTGGGCCAACCAGTTGTGGTTTACATCCTGTCTGCTCTGATGTTCAGGAGCTTTGGAGGTTTTAGTGAAGCTTCTGAACATTTGTGCAAACGTTTGTCGCAGCACATGCATTCATGTTCTCAGAAGTGCTTTTTTAAATCAAAGTCACTGTTTTTGTGTCAGATTTGCAGAAGTTTTTATGAGTTTTTATGTGCAGACACATAAAAACTCGTAAAGAGCGCAGGTGCGACTGCAGGAAGTTATGAAAGTCAAAGGAAAGACTTCGTGACTGAACAATCAGTGAGAAATAGTTTAGACTTCACATCAGTCTGAGGTTAGTTCAGACAGACCGAAGCTGTGGGACACGCCAGACACGAAATGCAGATTATTCTCATGTTTTTCTTCTTTTAGGCAGAAAGTGAATCATCAACATCGTTTTAAATCCAGTTTGCATTAAACTGTAAATTAATCTTTACTTCAACAGGAAGTCCCGCCTTCACCTCCATGTTCATGTCTCTGCGGATGTGTGTGATGTTCACATAGCAGAGAGGACGTTTGTGCTTCTCACTCATTCGTAGGCTCGACAGACTCTGACAGAGGATGAGCGTCCATGCGTGGAAACAAACACAAACACGCTCTCTGATTGGTGTAAATGTGCTCTCCAGTAATATTATTTATTCTCTTTGCAGCAGTCGCTGTTAGAACGGTTCTTGGATGAACTGATGTGGAGCGCATGAATAAAATCAGGCGCTGTGTGTGTCCTAACGGTTGTGGCAGCTTGGTGTGTTTCTGCGTCTGAAGGAGGAGAAAGTGGAGGTGACACGGCTGCAGGTGTTTCATAATCAGTAATCATGAATGTTTAGCCGGCTTGCTGTGAAGCCGGAGCTGCAGACGTGGAGCTGATTCAAAGTTCAGTCACGAACGCCGGGAGCCGTCTGCATCAAGCGGCTCGGCCCGCCACGCGTCAGCACGTTTCCTCACAGGCCAAATGACTTCCTGCAGTAAACACGGACGTCTCTGTAGTTACCTTTGAAGTTCGGTCTGATCCGGGCGTCGTAGCCAGAAGTCCTCCCCATCAGTTTGTCCAGGAAGTCAGAGGGAGACATCGGGACCTGGCGTGTCCTCACAGCATGGTCCAGCTCCTTACATCGAGCCACGCTGTCACTGAAACACAGCACACGTAATGGTCACGGCATCGCCGCAGCACGAGGACTTTACTTCTCTGCCAACATTAAACGCTTTCGTTATGAATCTGACTCCACTTTCAAATTCAAATTCAAATTTTATTTGTCACGTACACAGTCATACACAGTACGATATGCAGTGAAATGCTTGGACAACTGCTCGTGACCTAAAGAAAACAAA